TAACGGTGACGCAGTGGCCGTGAAGAAAATCAGTGGTGGAGTTAAGATGGGGGATTCTTTGAGTACTGCTGATACAGAGAGGGATGAGTTTGAAACTGAAGTCGAAACGCTGGGAAAAATCCGACACAAGAATATTGTCAGACTGTGGTGTTGTTGCAATGCCGGAGATGGACAACTTTTAGTTTATGAGTACATGCCAAATGGGAGCTTGGGGGATTTGCTGCATAGCAGCAAGGGGGGATTGTTAGATTGGCCTACTAGGTACAAGATTGCTTTAGATGCTGCCGACGGATTATCCTATTTGCATCATGATTGTGTTCCTCCTATTGTTCATCGGGACGTGAAGTCGAACAACATATTGTTAGATGAAGAATTCAGTGCCAGAGTTGCAGATTTCAGAGTTGCAAAGATTGTTAAAAGAGTCGGCAAAGCTGCAGAATCCATGTCTGTGATTACAGGCTCTTATGGTTACATTGCACCAGGTTTGTTCCTTCTGGATCCTTTTTGTTGATTGGTTATTTGTGCTACCTTATTGAATATCACAAGTGGCTTTGCTTATTCATTTCTTTTCACTCGAGTGCAGAATATGCATATACCCTAAGAGTGAACGAGAAGAGTGACATCTACAGTTTCGGGGTTGTCATCTTCGAGTTGGTTACAGGTAAACCCCCGACGGATCCAGAATTTGGGGAGAAAGACATGGCGAAATGGGTCTGCTCTACCTACAACCAAAAGGGTATGGAACAAGTAATTGACCACTGACTAGACTCTACCTACAAGGAACAAATTTGCAGGGTACTCGATATCGGTATCCTATGCACTAACGCTCTCCCCATTAACCGCCCTTCAATGCGGAAGGTGGTCAAATTGCTGCAAGAGGCCAGCGGGGAGAACAAGTTCAAAGCCAGTAAGGACGGAAAGCTCTCCCCATATTACTGCTATGATGAGGAAGCCTCTGAATCTGATCAAGCTAGTATAGTATAGTTTAATTAGTTGTATCTAGTAGTGAATCACACTAAAATTTAACTTTCCTCGGGCTGGTGGGTTTCATGGGGGAGAGGGCATGGTGCAGTGACAAGAGAGGTGTCCTCTTTGGAAAGTAAACCATACCAAGTAGTTTAGTGTTAGACCCACCATAGAGAGAGAGAGAGACATTGGACAATTGTTTTCAATATTTGTTTTTGGCAGCCATGGTTTTGACAACTCAGAGGACTACAGCTCTGCTGGTTGGGAGAAGGTATCGGGTAGCAGATACCGGAGTGGCTTTTGACTGTATACGTTTGTAATGAATGATGATGGACCAAAGCAAGGCATCTATCTCTGTCTTGGATTGTTTGGGGTTGCAAAAAGTCAGTTGTTGAGGGTGACAGTGCCTGGACTTATGGGTTTTTGTAGATGTTTTTTCATTTATTAGCTTAATCAATGGAAAAAGTAGCCCATTTCATTCTAGCCAAACTTACATGATCCTGGTGATTGATAGGTTCAAAAATTTTCATTAAATTAAGAATATAGGTTCACACCTGTTATCTACAGTGATCACGCAGCATTAACTAAAAGGGGGAAAACTAAAAGCATCATTCGACAACAGACAAAATCCTGCGCAGGACTTTGTATAATTAAATAACAAGTTCAACCAAGAATTGCAAAGGCCAATGCCCACAATTTTTGCTGCAAACAGTAAGGAACAATTACTATTTCAATTATATGTTCTTATATCGGCATTCACTAGAAAGATGGATAATTTCTATACCCGATTGCCAAATTTCAGTAGTATATATATACTCAACCCAAAACTTACCAGGCTAATTGCTGTTCTTCTTTCTGAAAACATAAACATCGGTCTCCTCATAAGCGTAATCAGGGTGCAAATCCTGATGCGGGACCTTGTCGATCACGAAAACATTTTCACACATTTCCCAGAACAGCTTATCGGCTTCCGGTGATCTCAACTGGTACCCTAGCAGAACCGCCCCATCATCGGCAACTAAAGCTCCATAGCCCCCACTAAATGTCCCACCGATTCCTCGATGTAGACTACATCAGCCGCGATCACCAAATCGAACGGAGGATTAGCAGCCCTAATCTGATCCTTGTTGTTCCAATAAAGAATCGACGTCTTCAGGTTCTTCCCCAGAACGGGTTTGTTGCGTTTGAGGTTGTGTTTGAGGGCGGGCATGACTGGGGATATGTCGGTGAGGATGATGTCGTGGAGACCCAGCAGGTGGAAGGCCATGCCGGCGGCTCCACATCCGGTTCCTAGCTCGATGGCGCGACGGCGACGACTGTGGAAATCGAGGAGTTCGGAATAAGGGTTACTGGTGCCGGCGGTAGTGGGCGAAGGCGGTGCCCACCGCTCGACAAATTTGGCGAGAACTAGCGAACAAGGCCAGACGGAGGTGCCCACGTGGAAGGAGCCATTGTCTTGTTGTATAGAGAGGTGAGAATCGCGCACTTGAAGCTCTATAACCGGTGAGTCCGTGAATTTCATTTTGGCTTCTCTGCTTCAACTTCTCAGCTGAGTTAACTCGAAGCTGTGGTTTTACTGTTTTAATGCGACTTCTTTGAAAGGGCTTGGCATGTTTGCGACCCAATGAGCTGATTTGGCTCAATCTCCACAGTGCCTAAAAGCTTGACATTTTATTGAGTACACTCTTGGGTGATTATTTATTTATTGGTCAAAATATGCTGCCAGTCCTTGTACTTAGTAAAGTTTTGAAATTTAGTTATTGTACTTAAAAAATTTAAAATTAAATTCTCATACTTTGACATCAACAGAATCAACTCCTTTTCTTTTAGCTTCCTTTAGAAGAAAGAAAAACCAGAGATGAAGAAGAAGAAGAGTATTTGATAAGGGGGAAGGTTGATATCAAATGCACAAGGCATAATGTCAAAAGAATCCAAACGTTTAGTTAAATAGTCCTTTGGTTTTTATTCTTTTTTAGAGTATTTTGTCATAACATTTTATTTTAGGGTAAAAAAACCTCTAATATTTGACTCAATAGTCACTTTGGTCTTCTTCTTCTTCTTCTTTTGAGTCTTTTGGCCCCCCAACATTTCAATTTAGGGTAAAAATGTCTACTTTATAGTATTGATCATTTGTTGAACCGATGATTTTTATCTACGGAGGGTCTTTTTGCCTTAAAATGAAACGGGATCAAAATGCTCAAAAAGAAGAAGAAAAATAAGAGTCAAAATAACTATTGAATCAAAGGTTGGGAGATTTTTCTGATATTATTTCAACGCATAAAATAAAAGATACAAAAAAGTGTCAACTTTAACTTACCTTAGTTAGCCTACAATAAGTAAAGTGCCTGGTTTCTTCATTATCCTGTAACCAGCAGCACCAGTCTTGCCTGTTCTATTCGCAGTAAACATATATGAGATAACATTCGCTTCCACATCTTTTTAAAATATTTTGTTCATTGACTTATTAGATTAACATTCAAAATTAAACCTAATTTAGAAGTTAGTTGAGGATTAAGATGCCTTTTGTTATCTTCCATGTTAGTACTATATTGCATTTACTTTTGTACCTATGAAACATTAATGACAATGATCTTTATTCATATGAAATAATGTAGAAATTATGTGTCAGCTCGACAATGAAGTTTCATACTTTTTCTCTTATTGGATGAAAAAAGTAGTTATTGAGAACAGGAGAGAAAAGAATAAAGTCTAAAGGCATTACATGATTATGAAAGTGAGACTTTCAGGAGAGTGTGTGTGTGTCAAGCAACTTAGTAAAACCATGAAGAAAGAAAGGGAAATAAAAATGCTCTTGCATTCATGGCCTTTAGTTGTCTTACATCGAAAGAGTTCGAAGTCATCCGGAACTCGATGTGGTCGAAGTCACTCTTACGAGCATATAAGTATTAAATTGCAGTCACAATATAGTGTAACGGTCGCATTATAACGTTTTTCAAAAGTACTGTAATATCGTAAACCGCATCTGTAACAAAAAACGTAATTATTTTTAGGAAATAAATCAAGTCGTAACATCTACAACCGCGACGGAACGCAATCACAATTTAATACTATGCTTGTGAGTATGTATTAGTATGTTAAAGTTCAAATTTTATCTATAAACAATTTACCAAGTACAACTGGAAATGTGAATAGTAGAGGTCAAAATATGGGGCCTGCAATACTGTATTATCAAGTATCAATATCCTGTTTGAATCACAAATAAGCCACAAAGTAAAACTCTTATCCATTGTCTTGAGCTCAGTTTCGTACTGGGGAAAACATTGATGCTTTGATTCTCTCCATTTTGCTTGTTATAGTGATGATCTTGTTAATCTTCAAAAAAAAAAAAAGTGTTGATCTTGTTAAGGTACAACTATGTTAGGCATGGTTTGGTGAGGGAGAAAGCTACATATCTCCTTCGGATCTTCTCTTGAAGCCACACATCCGTTGTAATTCATTTTCTTATCAAACATGAAGCCTTCGGAGTTCCTCGAATCTTCCAAAACTCCTTATCCTTCGACCAGTTACAGTCTCTCGACATAATTATTGGCATACCCACATGATCTGTCAGCTAAATTTACTAGTATCTAACAGTTAAATTCTGAAATCAACTTACAAATCGTCATCATCATCTTAATCCTGAAACAAACTTACAAATCATCATCATCTTAATCCTGAAACCAACACTAAAAGTTTGTATATAAGAGAGGCTCTCAAGTTTTCTATCATCTGCTTTAGTTCGTCCATTTCTTCCTCCTCTTTCATTGACCTCCATTTGCAATTCTCAGTTAATAATAATAATAACAATAAATCACGAAAAACCACTACAATCTTATTTCTATTATAAATATCGTATTATTTCAATTAACAGTTGAAACCCTGCTTTGTGAAGCTTTTTTATTTTATGGATATGTAAGTAATTTTTTAATCTAGTATGACAGGGCAACAACCACATAGAGATGAAACAATTAATGCAATAATGGAACTCCAAAAGGGTTTGTTTTTGCTTTCCTTCCACTTCTTCATATCCCCCCTTTATCAAAGTTAAAAAGCCATAATTTTTTAAAGGGATGAATTGGCTTTCAAAGGTTGAAGAGAATATGCATGGATCTCATCCTTCATCTATTCAGTAGCTTCTTTCTCTACTAACACTTTGCTTCCCTGCAAAGTCATTCAATTTCATGTGCCAATTCTCATTTCCATCCACTGATTGAAGATGGGTGACAAATGACCTGTACTCCAACACCCAAAAAATCTCTTGTTTCTCCTCCTCCTCCGCCGCCGCCGCTGTCTTCATTCTGCATGCGCCGCCGTTTTGCGGGGTACATTTGCAATTGATTCAGAGTGGAAATACCGTTTGCTGAGTTTTCTAAATCGCTTGGCGTGTTTGAAACATACAGATCACTATGCTTGTTCCCATCTTGAACTTGACTGTTGCTACACTTGGTACCGAAGCTTCCTAGGAATGCTGTGTCGGTCGATGTTGCACCGATTTGAGCTGCTTTCTGCAACAAAGCTGTGGCGGACATACTGAAAGCTGGTGTTTGATGAGACTGCTGTTGGGTGCTGAACAATGAAGGAACACTCACAAGCTGAGGTCCATTTTCCTTGACATTACTGAAAGGAAGTGAAGTGCTTGATAGCCGATGATCTTCAACATTACCCGATGAGACCTTGTTTCCGAACACCCAGTTTAGCTGATAATCCGATACGGGAGGATTCGATGTCGAAACCATAGGATCTCCGTATATCGATCCCGGATTCAAAGAACCGAATTGATGAATCTCTTGGAGAGTACTTTTGCCAAATGAGTCATAGCCCTGAGATGCTTGTCCCATCCACAAGGAAAATCCACGTCTAGTTTGGTCTACTGCTTCATCATTGCTTGAAATCGGGTTGAAAACAGTGGAGAAAGGCATCACCGTATCTAGTGGATTCCCCATAAGTTGGTAATTGAAATTTTCGGCGGCCAAGCTATGCATGCCGGAAGCTGCATTTACTCTAGCTGTTTCCTCGGCCAAGGCATCACAGAAAGCCCTATGCGTGATGAAACTATCTCTCCTGCATAAAAAAAATTACACAATTCATGGTGTATCAAATACTTGTACAAAGATTACTGGCGGATTACCTTGAGAATAGGGTACCACAGTCGCATTTGTACTCCCTGGTGCCGCAGGTTTTCGAGTGAGCTTTCCAATCTGACTGCACAGCGTATCGCTTCGAGCACTTCTCGCACTTCCACTTCTTCTCCCCATGCTTCCTATAAAAGTGCTTCTTTATGCCGGTTAAATCCCCGAGAGCCCTCGAAGGATGGTGATGAACGCAAGTCTTCTCGGGGCAAACATACACGCGCTTCCTCACTTCTTTCGTCGTCCTTTGTTTCAGCTTCCATGGGAGGTTATGACCTCGTCGATGGAGTTGTAGGTTTTGTTCTCTTTGGAAACCCTTGCCACATATTTCGCACAAGAATCTGTTGGTTGCCGTCAGAGTCTTCGGGGACAAGGCTATCACTTCAGCTTCAGGATCTGGTGTCAAACATAACATAAGTACACCATGAAGATGATCCTCAAAAGAGAAAAATTTTGCAGATATAATCATATACACAGGGTACTTGCCTGGTGTTCCTGGAAGGTTTCTCTTCTTTGCAACAACAGCAGGATTGGATCCAGTTACAGGATTCTTGATAAAACCATTTGAAATCGATTCTTCTGCCATAGTCTCTAACATCTATTCTGCTAAAGCTTAATACGAAACAAAAAACACCCAGAAAAAAACTAAGACAAGTCAACCAAAATGAACCATATATGTATATATATTAATGTGGTGAATAAGAGAAACTCTTTCAGGTTTTCTCAACCCTAACAACATAAGCTGGTATATGCAAAGGAATGGATCTCTTCTCTCTCTCAAATATGTAGTACTGATTAATTATAATTACTTCCTTTTAAGTGGAATATAACACTAATATATATATATGTGTGTGTGTGTGTTTTTTAATGAGAGGCGGTGAAAAGTTAAAGTTGATGAGGTCCTAAGAAAGCTATTCTCCATGCTTTTCCATTTGGAATCATTATCTCATAATTTGTTTACTTTTTGTTTTTTTATCATCTTTCTAATCTCTGCTGCCTTCCAGTCTGCAATTCTTTAATTCCCTTCCATATATGTAACAAAAACGTCCTACCACATGTATATGCAGTTTCAAATATTCCGAAAAACCGAGCTTGAAGAAATGTTTGAGGAGTACACGACTCGTGGACCGACAATGTACTATCAATTTTTTATGTCTTAGCATATCTGTCGTCCATATAACTGAATATTAACTTTGATGTTGACGTGATACGACTCGTAAAAATTTAAAGATATTATTAATAAATTAACTGTGACATATAAGAAATAATAATATCAATTTTTTTTATCAAATTCGAAGAAATTACTATATACATTAGATGAGATGGAAGGAGCCATAGGGTAATTTAACTATTACTTTGGACTGCTTTCTCTTGAAGTAGTTAAAAGCTTTCATCTAAAGTTAATAAGAAAAGTATAGTGACATGCAAAGAGATTAACTTGAAACAATAATGAACGAAGTGTCACTAAATGCATGAGTGTGACGTGCAAAGAGAGATGCCAAACTTGTCATCAAACACTTCATTCTTGTTCCTCATTTTCCACGAAACTGAAACAAGCATCTTTTTCGGTCTCTCGATTTAGCTAAAATTGACTTAGTTTTAGGGTTACTCCAATTATTGATCACTGAATTGAAATCATGAACAGCAAGTGGTTGTTTTTATTACTTGAATGTTAGTTTTGGGGTTTCAGCAGTCTGTATCTTTGCTTTTCACTTGGTGGATTTTTAGTTAAAATTTAGGTCTCTTTTGGACTGTGAATGCATACTGCATGCGCTTAATTTGGTATGAAGAAAGTATTTTTGTTGTATACCCTATAAACAAGGATTTTGGCTTTATTAGCATTGTTCCACCCTTTGCTTCCCGAGCAAGTTCCGATCAAAAATCACTTAATACGGGATCATTATTTTTTTTTTTTAAAGATATGTCAACTGATAAGATATACAAGTACTCCACTGTTTTTTTTACGTGAGATTAAGACATGATATTATGTATGACTCAATCTCGTGACGGATCATTGTAACGATTGTTCACCCTATCGAATCCATTGCAACGCTAGACATAAAATCGAGCAATTAAAGAGTTGCATCGCTATGATATCACTTATCAAGAAATCATTATTTTTTCCCAAAAGACATCGAATAAAATGTGCAGTGCCACCGCTCCTAGACTCCATGACCTTTTTTATTTAAGATTAATGTCTCTCATCTTTTTAAAGTGTGACATTATTTCTCATTTTATTATCTATTATTTTAGTACTTGGACCACAATTTTTTTCATGTTTATCCTAATAAATTAATATGCATGATGATAAAAAAAATCCTCAATATTTTTCACCTTTTAAGTTACACCCTTAAAGTTTTTTACTTAGCAATTTAAAACCTAAAGTTAAAAATAAAAAATACATAATAACTTAACATTTACCTTTTAAATTTATTCTTAAAGTTGTCATGTCATATCAATAAAAATATTGATAATTAATTGATCATCAATTTATCATAAAAAATTATTTAAAAGTTAAAATTTTAAATTATTATATTAATCATAATAAGAAGACGATTGATCATATCTATCAATAAGAATATAGTAATAATATTATGGCAAAAGGGTAATTTTGTCTCTATAGTAAATTCATTTTATCATTTTCGTCATTATCGTATTTTCACATTAATTTAGTCATCAGAGTTGTTCAATTACATCATTTTATATCGTACTCCTAACTTAAAATCCTAAATTGAGGATTTTAAGTTAGGGCTTAAGATTTATAATTCATGGTTTAGAGGTTATGGGGTGATGGTTTAGGGTTATTAATTTAGGATTTTAAGTTAATGGTAGGGTATAGAATGATACAATTAAATAATTTTGAAATCTAAATTGATGCGAAAATATAATAAACACGAAAATAATACATTAAGTCTATTACAGAGACAAAGATAACCCTTACGCCTAATATTATTCATGAAACATATATAAGCCGATACGTGTTACGTTATTATTGGTTGACATTGTTTGTTGTTAGTCGGTAAATTGTTAGACAAACCGAGAAAACATATATATTTAGGTATTAAAATAGGAAATGAGAGGCTAAATTGATGAGTTTCCGCTTATAGGCGTACATAATCACGGACGGATCTATTAGATACACGGGAGGGCTGTAGCCTCCTCAATGATAAAACTTTTTATATTTAATTTAAATAATTATAAATCATCTCTTAATTTTAAAAAAGAATTATACTTTATTTCTGTCGAGTCAAAATCCTTGTTCCGTGCATGTACATAACAAGGCTGTGGGCAGCGGTCAAGTGGTGAAGTCCGACTTTTGTTTTTGAATATCATAATTATGTAATCATGTTATGACAATGCATCCTCTCTGTTTAGTATAAATGTTTTGGAGTTAGCTGTTGAACTGTGGCGGCACACAGTATTCTCTCCTTCTCCAACACCCCTAAAGCCTTCGCCTTTCGAGGTTTGATCCCAGTTTTAGATTCCCTGTCTCATCTCTTGGTTTCTGCTTATAATTTTCTTTAAAAAAACACTGACAGATTTATGTTAATTAATTACACCTCTGTGCTACAAACCTTATAAATGGATGGAAGGTTTGGGGAAGACCAAATTGTTGTTGTAACCAAGGCCATGTTCGTTTGTTTTTGTTTTTACTTTGAAAATCAAGGTGGGACTACCCCTAATTCTTTTATCTTAATATTGGTTCAAAGCATTAATTCAAGCAATTATACGTAATTAAGATCAAATATTATAAAGGGTAATTTATTTAAATTTAAAATAATAAAGACCTATTAAATATTTAATCTAATTTTTTTTAAAAAAAGTCTAATTTAATTTAAATTTAAACTGTTATGAACCTAATTACCATTAAACTAAAATTTTAAAGAGACAAAAACCTCTCCCACTCTCCATATATCTTCGTTCATGTCCCTAGTAGTTCTTCCAAATTCAAGGCATGCATATGACATTCCCCATCTTATAACCAAAAATACATTACTCAATCAATAATTATTTAATTTGAATTTCTTTCATTTACTCAATCAATAAATATCTAGCTCGAATTTTGTAAATGCAAAAATATTAGAAGGCAGAATGAGACTGTGATTTAATATTAGAAAGGATAAAATTATTTAATTTCAGACTTAACATAAATCTAATAACTATTTAAACTCAATAATTGAAATACAACTTATATTAACAAATATTCAAATTAAATAAAACCAAAGATGTCATTTGACAAAAAAAAATGAGAATACAATATAATAAATATTTAAATTATATATATATATATATTATCTCCAAAACTAAATCAGCATGACTCAATTTTGAAACTGGTCAAGACTTTTATCACAATTGAGATAAAAGTTTAGACCTAAAAATTACATTACTTATTATTATTTTGAATAGTTTAAGGTGGAAACAATGTAATATAAATATATATTTTTTGTTAGCCGTTAATAATATGTACATACTCGCAAACGCAATTGTTTGAACTCTAAATTTTTAAGGAAAACAATATTTTATTTAACTAATAAGACAACTTGACGAGTTATTATAATTATTATTATTATATTTTAGGTTATATTTATAATATATATAACCATATCATGCGTAAGATTGTAAGATCATCGTTAAGTTGAAAATTTTGGAGGGTAATTAAGATTGCTATTTTTCTTCCTTTTTACTTTTTCTTTTTGATAATTCCTTTTTATTACTTTTGAAAATAAATAAACAAAAGACACAAGTCAAGGAAGGGTTGATTAGGATCTAGGGATCCATTACAGAATTCCACATGCATGCTTTGGCTTATAAAAAGTTGGAGAATATATGCCTTTTTTTTCAAACACAGTTATCTTTTATCTTATTTATTTATTTATATTAATATTTTTTAAAATGATTTGGGGTACGTATGACACAACCTATATGGTCCTGTTACATTTAATCTAACCTTTTGTAAAGCCATATCATATCTGAATATTCTAGGATATTAGTGGCAGTTACTTTATGTTATAATTTCAAATAACTGAAATAATTATTCGTAGTCTTTATATATCATACACAGAGAAGTAATATTTAGTTATATAATATAAAACTAAAAAAATTGTAACAAAATTAAAACAATTGTCTTGTTTTACATTGGACGTAATTAGATCATATCAAGCAGGTGTCATTTTGTTGACTGTGCCATTATGTATAATTAAACGAAGAAACAAACAACAACATAAAAACAACTGCAATAATTTAGGGTTGTAATCAAAGTGCTTCAAGATATCCAGGTTTCATATGATTAAGCCTTTAATATTGTTAATTTGGGATGAGTTGTTGACACGTAACATGCATAATCGATTCTCTTACCTTGTTTCCTTGTTGAGTGGACCTATATTTTGCGTTCTTCTTAACAACACAAAACTTTTATCAATAAAAAAACAATCACTCATGCAATTAATGTCATATAAGAAGATCAAAGATTCTCTTTTTGGCTTTGTTAAAAAAACACTAAAGATAGCACTCTTGGTATGGGCATGTATCATGTCGAATTTTTTTTATCGATTTTAATTTGATTTTGGTATTTTATCTCTTTATTAGTCTTTAACTCAATTTAAATTCAGAAATGTTTTATTTGACCCAAAATTTAATTCAATTTTTAAGATAAAAACTTGCACTTGACTCAACTCAACAAAAATATATATATAATTCTAATTTTTATTAGATAAAGTAAGGTCTAATTGAAAAAAATATAGAGGGAGCAATATTATTGTAATTATCTCTAAATATATAAGAGATAATTATATTATTATCTCAGATCGAGTGATTCAGAGTTTTTTTTACCATAAATCTAAACTTGACCCGATCCAACGTTATCATTAAAAAATGTTCCAATCCGAATTTAAATATAAAAACAACTTTATAAGATAGGATCAGAACCCCAAATTCGAGTCTCATATCCATTCTTATGATACATCACTCCACTTTCTCTCATATATGAAAGGACTATAGTTATTAACAATAACAAAATAAAAAATTTAAATGGCAAAAGGGTCAATTTCACCCTTGTAATATACCCAATTTATCATTTTTGTCCTATAGTATTTTCGCATTAATTTAACTCTCAAAGTTGTTTAATTGCATCATTTTATATCCTACCCTTGACTTAAAAACCTAAACTGATAACCATAAACCCTAAATCATAAGCTCATAATATCTAAATCCTAAACCTTAATATTTGGCTTAAAACTATCAATTTAGGGTTTTAAGTGAAGGTAGGGTATAGAATGATACAATTAAACAACTTCAAGAGCTAAATTGATGCAAAAATACAATATGGGCGAAAATGATAAATTTGGTCTACTACAAGGACAAAGGTAACCATTTTCCCAATTTAAATTATGATATTGAAATTTAAAAATGATGTTAATATTTTAAAATTTTATGTATCAACTAGCATTTCAATCATATTTGTACCTCCGTCTATGGCTATAAAACCTTTTTTTAAAAGATAATATAGGTAGGGACCAACCCATCCATTTCATTTTTTCCTTTAATGAAGAAATCACAAATCCATGTTCCATATACATGAATCAGAAAGAGAGTGCATGTGAGACAACAAATAATACATGGCTAAGCAAAAAATAATTATTAATGTTTTAAGTATTGAGAGCATAAATCATGCTTAAATGTAATTAAGTATTTGATTAAGCAAGGTCGCCATCGAACTTGTGGCACATAAAAGTTCCCACTAATGACATTAAAGAAGGCATGATGTGTGGGCGAATATATTTTTTGGAGTAAAGAGGTTTTAGATAGGACTATGAGGATCATTCCATTCAAAACCACACTTCCTTTCTTAAAGGAATTCAAGCATTCAAAAAGAGGCACAACTTCCACGCACCACCAATTGTGCATCAAATGGAAGAAAAGCTTGCACTAATCAATAATTAAAAAGGTCATTTGGTGGAAAAGTGATTGGTCTTTGCTATATTTATCTTGTGATATATGTAGTACAAGAATGATTAAGATAATTAACTGCGTTGGTAATAAATGAAACATTCGGAATTAACGCTAGAGTGTTTGTATGGATTTACCTATTAGAAAAATAGTGGATTAGTTGAATAATATTGATGCTAATAATAAATCATGTCGCTTGGTGAATAGATGTTAATTCTTGGTTTAAAACATTTCAATCATATCTATTAGATTTTTTAACATTAATTCTCTTCGTGAAATGTCAAGTTTCTTCATCAAATGGTTTTAATATTTCAATTCATTTTTCTCTCCACTATATAAAGGAAACTTGAGACACAACTTTGAAATAGGAAAATACTGAAAATTTCGTTCAAATTCGTTCTTTCTAGTGATAGAGAAAGACAATAATATATTTGACTATTCGTTATTGTTGTGCTTATTGATGTGATTGTTTTTATTGTATATTGGGAGACTGACATTCAATGTTACTCAAAGCATTGAGAAGAGAATGAATATGTTTTAAGGAAACTGTTCATACAGACTTCAACATCGTCTAATCAAATTTATATTTACATACGAATAAACAATTTCATATTTATTTTGCTTCGTTCGATTCAATAATAATATTTACTAATTATTATTATTATTACTATTTTATTTTTCAAATTAACGTTTGTCTAACATTATCTTGATTAAAACAATTCAAGAGTACAATGCAAATTGTTCTTCGTGGGAAAATCATTGTGTCTTGGAAATAACGTTTCTTAATTTCTTGCATGACTAAAAGGGGGAATAAGTTATTTTTTAGATAGTATCTTGGACACGTCTTGTCTTACATTGTAGATCAGACATGAGATTATCTGTGATTCAACGTTAACAATGTTTTAGTACTTTATTATTTTGATTTAGGTGTGAACCTTGTATGTCTCTACGGGGATGACTTATATTCATTTTGAAGATCGTCTTATATTAATTTTTTATGGATTTTATAATAAATAAAATATTTAATGTGAGAAAACAAAAGTAACTCCGTTAAAAGAAATTCAAACGGCGTATTTATAACCAGACTGATAATGCTTAACATTTTGTAAGCGTATTTGTTTGAATCCAAGACTTTTAAAAAGAATAATATATCATTTAATAATTAAAATCACTTGATGAGTTCAATAATTTTATTATTTTTATGGAACACAAATTACGCAGGAATAGATTCAAAAAGTGTAATCTTTAAATTGAATAATGATGAAAGGTGTTACGATGAGAATATTAATTATAGAAAAAATAATATTGTTTTGTATATATTAATTAAAGAAAGAGTTATTTCGACAATGAAACTAATGGTATCTCGCGTGGGATATGAGTTTTGTTTATTATTGTTGATTAGTTTAAAGTGATCCTAAGATGATTTGTATTTAAATTTTTCTTTTTATAAATATAATTACTTAAACTTATAATTTCAAAGAATAATAATATTTTCTTTAACCGTTAAGGTTACTCAATGAATTCATATATGAGTTTATCTGAGTAATGAGTTCTTTTGTTGAGGTGTTGTTCAACCATAATCAGTTCATGCATGTGAAGATTAGTGATCTACGAGTTGAATTGAAAAGTATTCTTGATTAATAGAAACACAAAGTACTTCTATAATAGACCTCTAGCTTTACGAAAACACAAAATAGTTTGATTAAAAAAATAAGGGTAATTTATATATTTAGTACCTCAACTATCATTTTTGCTCCATTTTGGTCACCCAATTATCTTTTTTAAAATCATACTTAACGTTTAATTTTAGTTTTATTGTGGTCGCATGTCACTAAAAATTAAGGGTAAACTACACATTTAGTATCCTAACTATCACGTTTGTTCTATTGTGGTGACTCAATTATTTTTTGTTTTAAAATCGTAGCTAACATTATATTTTGGTTTTATTTTGATCACCCACTGTTAAAAAAATAACGGTGATACTGACGTGTCACCATAAGGTAATGGCACATCATCATTGATTTTTTTTTTAATTGTCACGTTATCAATTCTATTAACTTTTTACGGTGGGTGGCCAAAATAAAATAAAAAATTAACATTAGGTATGATTTTGAAAAAATAATAGTTGAGTCACCGAAATAGAATGAAAGTGATAATTGGGTACTAAACGTATAGTTTATCCAAAAATTAATCGTGACGCTGACATGTCACCATAAAATGACACCACAGTCATTAAAAAAATAAAAAAAATACCACATACATCATAAGTAACAGTGTAATTTTGAAAAATAATAGTTTAGAGAAAAAATGAAACAAAAATGATGATTTAGATATTTTTTGGTTGCCTTCTCGATTTATGTTGTTTATCACTTAAACTAACTTATTGGTAACCATATTCGAGATTTACCTACGAATAAAAAGGGACAAATTGCTCCACCATTCATATTGTTTCGGATATATTAGGATTTTAGGTACCACCTTATCTATGCTGTCTAGATTCATTATAATGACAGGAACACGATGACATTGGCACATGTGCTAACGCAATAAGCGTTAGGTGTTCAGTCGTACCTAAACAGGGAGATACCGCCAACCTTCATGTGATCACAATTACGTATTTAAATAATAATTTACTTTTAAAATTATAATCATTATACAATAAAAATATATTATTATATAATTGTAATATTTATAAAGACTAAAGTAATACATATTATATCCGTAGTCATCATAAATAAAACATAAATTGAAAATATAATTGTAACCGTAATTTTTATTGAAAGGGATAGTATTATTTATTGTTGGTAAAGGAATACATCAAAGACATAGATATAAATCTCATAAAAAAAAATCTTTAAACCTAAATGGAAGAAAAATAAATGGAGAAAAAGATATCACAACTGTATTTTAAATTCATAATCCACTAAACATCTCATCTCTAACACCAAACAAAACACAGAAGTTGCACAACACAACTGTTCATCCTCTCCCTTGAGAACCATTGTAATGAAATCGACAACCCAATTTTCAAGAAAAACCAAGAAATGAGTAATAAGATTTGTATTTTCTAGCAACAAAGTTACATTCCCAATTGGGTTAATAATTATCCATTTAAACATTGTATAACAAGTCAAAGCCACAAGGCACCGGCGTCTTTCAACACAGGGATCAACTCCCCGCTGATATGAGTAGCCATAACTTTGTCTAATCCCCCATATAATCTCCCGCCGATGAACACAACAGGAAGCTGAACCATTTTCCGATCATTTCCGTTATCTTTACAGATCGCCTCCAGTTCATTCAAGACACCGGCCTCGTCCACCTCGTTGATCTCGTGAACCGCGGGGTTTACGCCCAGAGCCTGCAGCAAACGCCTCACTACATGGCTCATGCAACAACCCTTCCTCGCCAACACAATCACGGCGTTCTCCGATACGATATTGATCACGTCTTTCGTGCCGCCTCTTCCTCCTCGGCCTCTGCTTATTACGAGGTTGTTATTCTTACCAACTGCTGTTGATGATGGGGCACCATGGGAAGTGGTGCTGATGCATGGCAGAGGCCAAGACTTGTATGGAATTGCTTGTTGCATCCTGAAAATCAATTGTATGTATCGAAACAAGAAATATGGCAGATGAAATATATATACATATAGTGTGTGTGTCTATATATAAGCAAGTGGAGGCAAAAAGAGGGGATGTGAGTTTGCGATGTTGAAAGGGTCTGGCGTTAAATCAGTTAGGCTGACGCGTCTATGGTGGTTTAGCCTAATGGGTGACGTTTATTAGATGTCATGTTTTAATTAATAAAAATACTGGGGTAAAATACAACGCAGGCCACTAAATTAAGTTTATAATAATAACTGGATCATTTTTTTTTCTAGAAGTTGCAAATAACTCAACTAAAATATTGTTAGTCACTTGTCATCTAATATTAGTCGGAATAGTGAAATGACATGTTATAATAACAATTATAGTCCTCAAAACTTGTGTAATCTATCAATTTAATGCTAATTCAAAAATCTTTTTAATAAATTTAACCATTCATGTTTAAAAATTATATTATTTTAGTCTTTTTTATTATCATAAATTGTTTGTTCTTTTCCTATAAATAGTTATATTACTTTCCTATTATAAAAATAATTTAATAATAATTTATTACTATTTTATGATTTGATGTAATATTATCAGACAATTGTTTTATTTCGACAGACTTGATTGATTTGAAAGTATCATAAAAAAGATTAAATTGATGAAAATTTTAAATATGAATAATTAAATTTATTAAATTTGGATAAATTAAGAGAATATATAAGTTTGAAGGACTAACTTGTTGTTTTACCCAAAATGATTTCATCATCATAAGAAAACCTAGTTGCTGTGTCTTGACGAGGATGACCGTTTCTTTGTGCTTGAAAATCCAATGTATGAAAAAGGATTTGGAAATATTAATGGGTCTAATTATTGGTTGTCAAAAGGAGAGTATGTATGAGAAATAGGGGTGTAAACGAGCCGAGTCGAGTTCGAGTATTGTCGAGTTTGACTCGAATTCGAAAACTTTAAATGTAGGCTCGACTCGACTCGAAAACTCGCTAGCTTAAAATTTTCAAGCTCGAATCGAACTCGAAAGATAATATTAAAACTCGACTCGAACTCGAAAAGGCTCGAACTCAAAAAAAATTCAAGATCTTTATTGAAGCTCGAGACTCGAGCTCGATTGAAGCTCGATTTTGAGCTCGATTCAAGCTCGATTCAAGCTCGAACTCAAACTCGAATTTGATCCTTAGGGGTAAATTAGCTTTAGGCTCTCTAGATTTATGCGTTTTGTACAAAACAATCCCTCAATTATTTAAATTTTAGCTTAAATTAGTCCTCACATTTAGATTTTTCTTAATTTAGTCTCTGTTTATGATTGTTTTCTTTAATTAGTTGTGTATATTTATTTTGCATGTTGATATGTTTATGTATAAGTATGTGAATAATTTATTTATGAGCCACATAACATCATTTTGCATAATTTGTATGTTACCTTCATGGCATAACTTAAACCCTAACACATAAACCCTAAACCTTAACACATAAACCATAAACTCTAAACTTTAAACCTTAAATCCTATCACATAAACTCTAAATCCTAAACCCTAAACCTTATCACATAATTAGTTATGAGGTAAGTACAATATAATATATTGATATTAAATGCTCAAACCCTTGATATTTATGATATTTGAACCCAAAACCTCAAAATATAACAACAATTTAAAAATTAGTTATTACAAATATTTTCATTAGAAATATATTAAATATTTGTCATTAGAGAAATAATTTTTTTTTATCAATTTAAAATAAATATAAGAATATTTATTCAAAAATAATTTTTCACCATTTTCAATTCAAGAATATTTATTCATCAATAATGTATTTTTAATATATTTTTAATAATGTAATTTTTAAAAATATAAAATTATAATATAATATTTTTTCGAACTGCTCACGAACTTTTCGAGTCGAATATCGAGTAGCTCGTTTCGGCTCGTTAAGAACTCGAGTCAAGTTCGAGTTCGAGTCGAGTCCATTCGATCCGAGTATTTATCGAGCTAAGATCGAGTCGATCTCGAGTAACTCGCGATCTGTCTCGTCTCATTTACGGCCAGAAACGAAGAAAACAGTGGAATTAAGGAGAATGGTCAGCAGGCCGTGACGTTTACCCAAAATCAAAGAACAGTGTACGTAGACAGGAGAAACTTCTTCATTATAAATATCCATTGCCTTTTGTCTTGCGTATGCTTACGCCATCGTTGTGTTTCTTTCGGTCGCTGTTCTACGACAGTACGTATGTAGATATTTGTTACACGTCACCAAGTTAAGATATAAATTATAAAAAGAAATACATTTTAATTAATATTATATATATATATATTTATTATTTATATTGGTTCCATATGAGAAAAGATAGTTGATGGAGATTAATGTGACCCACACGTCTAGGGCCATGTCGGTGAGTTCAATGATGAATGGCGGACGTCAGCCAAGTGGCAGCGGTAACTGGATTAGGCTTCCACACATCAGCAAACGTGTTTATGACGTCACGTGTATGGCCCGCCACGTGAGAAGCCAGACTGTTGGCTTAGGTTACTTTTGTGTCGTTTCTTTTGTTTGAAATGTTATTCCGTCGATTACCGATTTAATATAATTTAAATTTAAAATTTATTTTTATTAATCAATTAATTAAAATTAAATATTATAAAGATCCAAGATACGAATATAACTTATTTTTAAAATCAGCACCATCTACTATTAATAATTAGTTGGTTTAGTATGATGAAATTCTAAATTTTTTAAGTAAAATAAGAGATTTGAATCTTGATGTTTGAGTATAGAACAAATTAGGTAGGAAAAATCACCCTTACCTATATAATACACAATGCAAATTAATTAATCAATATATCATATACCGATAATTATAGAAGAAAAAAATCAGCACCATCTACATCCTGTCGGTTATTGACCAACAAATGAGGATATTGATGGAAGAAGAAATAGAAAGAAAACAACAATTTATTCTTCTAGAATTTCAGTTTGATAAGAAACAGCCGGCCATCGAGACAGATTTGTACAAGTGTATGTAGTTAGGACTAAATCAAAGGTAGTTTAAACTTGTAAAATTTTACCAAAACTTGACCTGTCTTAGGTCGACTTTGAACATCGATCGGATTCATTCCCTTCTAGTATAAGCGGTGGTATGCTCGCACCGACATCTATTCGATTTTTTTAGTGTTACTAGGTATTCCGAGTGAGCATTTAATTGAATTGGATGAAAATATTTTAAATTAATTATATTTTATTTTAATATTTTAAATTAAATAGAGAAAAAAAATGAAATTCAAGTAGAATTAACTTATTAGATTTAAATTAGACTTAATTATATTTCGATCATATAAATCTCACGTGATTTTGTATTTTGATTAATACCATTCCTAAAAATAATGTTATATTTCCTCTCAACATAATTAGACGGCCAAAGAAAAAAATCCCAACGATTATTTTTAATTAAATCAAATTAAACTGAATTTGAATGTATAAAATAAAGTTTTGTGATAAAATTTAACATTCAACGATTATTAACCAAACTACTTGACCCATTGGCCTGGGTTCACCTCGCCCAACCAGGCGTGCCTGTATTCAAGCCATTGAAAGCAGTAGTTCAAAGAGAGTATCAACAAAGAAATGATATCAGCTTATGAAGATAATATAGCCAATGGCTCTTCTTTACCTCAACATATGTTCAACTGATAGCGGTTTAAACCCTAATCCTTAAGGCAAAATAAAATCCTTCCAACCTCCAGGAGACATAAAACACTTGAGTTTGTCATCACTCTGTTGTATAATGTTCCCACAATAGAATTATTGAACAAAGCATGAAAATAAAGGTAAGAAAACCAAGTTACTTTGTGTGGGATTCGAGATCCATCTCCTGAAGGTTCAGCAATAGATCCTTTGAGTTCAAGAAGACTTTGTTGGCTGAATTTGCAATGGTCTGTGCAATTTCTCTGGAAGCTTCGATTTTCCTCAATGTGATGAATGCTGGATTCTTTGCAATTGCTTGACCAATGAGTTGGGCACTCTTGGCTTCTCCCTGGATACCACACGAATAAAAGGATCAGCCCATATACAGCAAAACAAAATCTCTCACTTTAACAAGAATAGCAGAAACTGGCATCCAAATCTGCCTGAATGCTCCCATTGAGCAGCATTTATCATCTAATTTTGCAATAAAACTTATTAGCTTTTTGGTTCTTTATTTACTTCCTTTCTTTTTCCCTCTAACCATAACTACAAAAAGCAAAGTGTCTGAATCCAATTTTATGTATCTCACCTGTGCTCGGATAACAGCACTTTTCTTGTCCTGTTCAGCTTTTTCCACGATAAATTTAGCTCTCTCAGCTTCTTGTGCAGCCACCTGTTTAGCCTCAATTGCAGCAGTGAATTCCTTTCCAAAGGTCAGACTTGTAATGGACACATCATCGAGTTGAATGTTGAAGTTAGCTGCCCTCTCAGTCAAAATCTTCCGAATTTCCTTGCTAACATTCTAAAATTTGCAATAGTTCAACTTCACACTATTAATCCAAAAAATTATTGCATAGAAATGCATGACAGGATATTTACCTCTCTCTGAGTAATGAGTTGGCTAGCATTGTATTGAGCAACAACAGCTTTCAAAGTTTCATGAATGATTGAAGGCAGGACCCTCTCGTTATAGTTCTCACCAAGGGTTCGATAAATTTCAGTTAACTGATTTGACCTAGGACGAGTGAGAACTCGAAGCCCAATCTTGACCTGAAGAGGATAGCTCAGAAGCAGGTTTATGAGTAACTAAGGCATTACTTCCTACAACATTTTTCTATTTTCAATTTCCACCTAATATAACATCCGAAATGCACATATGTTGTATCAACAAGGGAAAAGAACAAAAAGACCTCAAGGTTACTCCACCACAGAGCCGTACATACTCAATCATTCAGGATGAAGCCAGGAACGTCACTTTGGGGGCGGGAAGAGGAAAGTTAGGATAAGAAAAAACATGAATATCAGAGTATGTATACAAAATATATTATTTCTACAATTAATTTTGCATGCAAAATATAGCAACTAA